GTCCAACTTATTGGATTTTAATTCACCCTCACAACAACAACGGAAACGAAGTGGCAGTGATTCAGTCCTCGGGTTTGTTCACTATAGATAATAACACGTTCTTCTTCGTGGTCCCCAGGTCTCCTGTCCTGAAGCCGTTCTTCTTCTTACACCCCAAATCTGACATGAAGGTGAGTTTGTTAAAAGAAGAAGAAGAAACAACTGCTGTCTCAACACTTTTCAAAAGAGGAACTTCATGAGTCATAACGTATGAAAAACTCGGTGTCATCCAAATGTCAAGCCTCACTGTTCAGTGTGAGGCGAAGCTAATGTTGCTAATGTGTGAGCCGTGTAGACTGAAGAGGGTTAAAGTCACACGTGAAAACTGTTTTTATTTTTTTAATTTTTAGACTTTAATCCCAAAATTCTGCGAAAAAAAGTCAGAATTTGAAGAAAAACGTAAAATATTTAGAATTTAATCTCAGAATTTCTACTTTTTTCTCAGATATTTAAGTTTAATCTGTCGTCAGATAAAAAAAAAATCAGTTTTTAGTCGACTGAACTCCAGATGTTTTAATCGATGAAAACTTAAACACTTAAAGGGACAGTGTGTCATTTTCGACACGCATTCGTCTCTCTGCAGGTTGACGTTCACATCGATGGAGAGTTGGTGGAGTCACTCTCAGAGGTGGGACCAGACGCGTCTGAGCAGGAAGCCCCTCCCACCTCAGCAGAGGACGTACCTGACACAGGTAGGTAAACACACAACCAGTTATTGTGTCGTTTTCTGAACGTGGACGCCTGCGATTGTTTTCCAAAGAGAAGACGAGCGTTAACCTGATGTTGGGTAAGCTTCACCTGCTGAAGCATTAGCACTGTTGCCGTGGTTATCTGGTTAATAAAACGAGCTGTCGACCTGACAGCCAATCAGAGACCAGGATTCTCTCTTGTTGTGTCTGGTTTAGCCAACACTTGCCATATTCTGGGAGTCCTTCCAATCAGAAGCCAGTATTTCATTGTCCAGCCGTTAAACTCATCGTTAGATTATTTCTTTTTAATGATCACTAATGAACAAACAGACAGAGTCGTGTCAGCCTGCAGGGGGCGACAGTCTCCTTCCCCCTGATTATAAATCAACACAAGTTACAGATCAGACGGACCTGTGTGTGTGTGTGTGTGTGTGTGTGTGTGTGTGTGTCTCTCTCTTATTCCTTGGGAGTACAAGCTGTGCTACTTTTTCCTCCTTTCACCCTTTCACCAACACTTCCCTCACATGGCCCTGCACAATACACACACACACACACACACACACACACACACACACACACACACACACACACACACACACACAATGCTGTTAAGAAACGTTAATGATGTCGCTCTGACGGAGCAAAGAGACTGAAGTTATTCACAAATCAAAAGAACAGAAATTGAATATGATAATACACAGAAAAGCAGGTTCACACACACACACACACACACACACACACACACACACACACACTGAGTCCTGGCTCCTTCCCCCACCTTCACATTCCTGGCTGAAAACAGGAAGGCCTCTCCAATCACAAAAAACCAAACCAAGAGAATAAAAACATTCAAATAAAAGAAGAAAAGAAAAGAGCTGCTGCTTTTAATATTTATTCACCTGGTTTTATTTTGAAAGATCAAAGACTCTGAGGTGATTTAGCTGCGTTTTATTCTCTTATTTTTCATTTTTGACAGGAAAACACTCGACGTCAGTGTAATGATAAAAATGACGCTTGCTTGCGTGTCAGTGTCTATGGAAACAGACTTCACCCTGGAGAGGGTCCTGGAGTCCTTCAGGAGGCTCGTATGGTCCTTGAAGAGATTCCAGATTTCCTCAAGGGGTTGTTGAGGAGGTTACAGCAGTCCTTGACAAGACCCATATGGTCTTAACGGAGTTCCAGGTCCTTGAGAGCTTAAAATGTGCTTGAGGGGTCCTTGCATGAGCACAAATGGTCCTTGAGGGAGTTCTGCAGGTCCTTGAGGGGGTTCCAGGAGTCGAGCAGTCCATTACAAGATTTCTATGGTGTTTAAGGGGTTGTGTAGGTCTTTGAGTGAGCTGAAATGGTCCTTGAGGAGGTTTCAGTGGTCCTTGACAAGACTCGTACGGTCTTGACGGAGTTCCAGGTCCTTGAGAGCTTGGAAAGAGCTTTAGGGGTCCTTGAAGAGGTTTTTGAAGTCCTTGAGGATGTTTTTTTTTTTTTAAGGTAAATAAAAAACAAGGTTTTTAAATGGATTGGTTATTATATCTTAATTCTTTGAGGACTGAAAGTTTTTCTCCGGTTTCATTTGTGGTGAATCATTTTTTTTCTTTGTGCACAGACAGAGAAAAATCCCATTACTCCATTACCTGAACAATAAATAAACAGAGGTAGAAAGCGTTGTGCCCACATTAAACCCGTGAGAAATAATAAAACAGAAACAGAGTGAAAACGCTTCCAGACCTGAACTGAGCTGCATGAGAGTAAAGCAGGGAAAAGCCTGACTGTGTTTGCCTCTGTGTTTTATCACCGTTAGCTGAGCCAAACAAACACGTTTGAAGGCAGTTTTGGTTTTCTGGTCTCTGTCCAGACCTGCCCAGTGGACCACACAGCTACAGACTGGAGGAACTGGCCTTCACCAGGAGCGGAGACAAAGGAGACTCGGCCAACGTCGGTGAGAAAAAACCTCGCGGAGGGAAAACGCATAATGAGATTGTTGTGACTATAAACCTGTGTCCTCAGTCGACCTCACACATCCTCCAGTATGGAAGCCACTCACCACTTCCTTAAAGGCTTTAGTTTGTTGTTATTCCTCCGCCCGGCAACAGTCAGAGCTGGCAGCCATTTTTTTTTTATTTTTTATGATTGTCTGTCCCCGAAGGAATTTCTTCACATTTGACACAAACATGAAAAGAAAACACTTTTTCAGCCACAACTCCAGACGTCACGCTGTAATTTTGACAAAATTTCACACAAATGTTTAATATTTTCTCTGACTCTGGATAAACAGGGATGTGACCTGAAACTAGTCTGAGTGGCCGAGGCGGTGATTCTAGTTCTTTGTTACAATTTTCACGTTAAAGGTGTAAAAATGTTTTTAAATGACAAAAAACTGCAGTTTCATCTGTGGTGTCTCGATCTCTCTCTCTCTCTCTCTCTCTCTCTCTCTGTAGGAGTGATCGCCCGTCATCCCCTCTTCTTCCCTTACCTGAAGAAACACCTGACTTCCTCTGTGGTGCAGGAATACTTCTCCCACCTCATCCAGCCGGGAGTTGGCAACGCCGTCACACGGTAAGCAGAGGACGAGCGCCGTGAGTCAAAGAGACTGACGATCTGCAACGTCACCACTAGGTGGCACTAAGTGCTACACACAGGTCCTTTAATTTACCTTTAATCAAGATGTTTAATCAGGAAGACTCCTTCATCACCTTCACACATGCAAATCCACCTGTGTGTGTGTGTGTGTGTGTGTGTGTGTGTGTGTGTGTGTGTGTGTGTGTGTGTGTATAAAATAGGATGTGGTGGTTATATTTGTGTGTGCACTTCTGTTTCAGACAAGTAAAGAACAGGCGATTCAGCCTCCTCCACCCAGCTCACACACATTTCAACACACACACACACACACACACACACACACCACAGCAACAACAATTAACAATTGCGGTCAGTGTAATCACTATCAGACGTCGGCCTTCAGCAACGAGACACAACAGAGCGGGAACACGCCAAAAACAAGACGCACAATCTGCAGGCGAACTGATATTAGTCACGATCAGGCCTGAGACGCTGCGGTCGACGGGAACACAGAGGAATCACCGTGACACGTTCAGCAGCTCGACTCCTGAGCGCCGCGGCTTTGACTAAAAGTCTGAACGTCTTCACATCGAGGTCGCCGTCGGTTCGTCTCGGTCATATTTTACAACACCACTGACTTTGTGGTTATTTTATGGTTGTTTTTATTCCACAAAAGCCCAAACGTTTCTCTGTATTTAATCTGCTGACCCTGTTTTAAAGTCTCAGACAGAACAAGGTTTATACGTGACTAAATGAAATCCCAGCCGGGAACAGAGAGCTGGTAACGACCTGTAGAGACGACGCCTTCTTTCCAGTACGAGACGTACAGTTAAACATATACACACATTGTGTAGTTTTCACTGTTCTGACTCAACAAATCCTTTTAAAACCTTCTTAGATTATCTCCAGGAACCATGATGGCGACCCTTCTGGAACATAGGTGTTTCTACGGAATTGAAAACGTAGAACTTGTTTGCGTAGCCAATCATGTTGTTTAACTTTAAACTGTATTTGCACAAAGAACTGACGGCACTGTTGTGTCGTAGGATGAACTGTTGCACGGCAGAGCGAACAAACAGAGTCCTGTACGGGTCCAATTTTTTAAATTAGATTTGACTTAAACACTACGCTGGTTTAGATTTTTAATAAAAGTTGATTTCACCTGTATTTAGTTCTTGTTTTACCCAAACCCATTCGGGCTGCACGATAGGCAGAATTTGATTGATTTTCACTGGGAAAAAAAAAAGATGAAAATGTGACTTTTGTTGGTTCTTGTACCGAACGATCACGTTCCTTTACGTTTGGAGAATATAACTTGTATGTGAACAATGTGACACATTTTCCCCTTCATCAAAAAACATTACAGCTCCTGGGATTTGGAAATTGTACTTGGTCATTAATTGTGCAGCTCTAACGTCCATTAATTAAAATAAACATAATTGTTTTTACCACTTAACCTGTTGCTCCCTGAACCGGTGCAGGACTTTGGCACAAACCTGATTTGAATCATGAGCAGCAGCGCGTCCACGTCCGTCCTGCAGCGTGATCAAGAACCATTGTTTCCCCCAAAGACCTTCTTCATTTCTTCCTTCCAATAATATACAACAGTTTCCACTTCAGAAATCTGAATTATTTTGTTTTCTTGCTGCGAGTTAGACGTAAAGATCGATGCCACTCTCACGTCTGAACATTAACCGCTGGAGCTGGTTAACGTAAAGA